TATATATATATATATATATATATATATACTTCGTCCACAAGCGCTGTGCTTGTGATGCCTATGACAACTGGCGAATTTCACTGGTGGTTTATCGTAAGTCATAGGCAGCAAAATGTTTGATGAATGGTCGTTGGCTTGTTCGCTGAGCTGGGCAATTTGGTTGCAAACGTTTCATCCTTAATCGAGGTGATATCATCAGTGCGTTACTGGGTAGCGTAGTGGTGCGTAGCGGTCGGTTGGTGGTTGTGCGTTGAGTAGTGTTACGTGTATGTTAATATACGTGCTGTTAGTCGGGGATGACCTTTGATCACGATTAGTTGTTCGGTCGGGCGGTTTCATTTGTTGCTCTGTTACCCCGTGTCCTCATTTGCCGATGTCCACGTGGCCTTTGAGCTTAGCATCCCCCGCCGTCGTAATCTGGTCGATGTTGGAGTGATCTTTGTCCTTCCGAGTCCCGACTTGTGACCTTTATTGATTTGACTCCAAGGAGTTCCTTGTTTCTTTGTTCGTGAATCCGATATTCGGTTCTCCTTGAGTGTTCCGGTTGAGATATTGATCTTTTGCACGTAGAGGTGCGTAAATTTGATCCAGTTCGATGCACCGGTTGATCGAATCTACCATGGAGTACCATGCTTCCAGAAATTCTCTTTCATGGTTCGCTTCTCCGTATGCCACAAATTTTGCGTTTTCCAAATTGAATTTGTGGCCTTCTTGGTCTTCGTGTATAGATATCAAAGGTAGGGGGTCATGCCTCCTGACAGCCGTGTTGTTTTACTTCATTCGTATGCATAATTTCCTCCCAGTTTGTCCAACGCAGAATTTTTTGCAGTCACATTGTTCTTCCTGGTTTTGTCTCGGTTGTCCTTCAGTCTAGAGGTTGATTTCCTTAGGGTGGCATTCGGTTTGTGGGCCACGAAGGTTCCTTTTTGAGTCAATAATCTGGTTGCGAATTCTGATATATTCTTGATGTAAGGTAGAACTACCCATCTGATGGCTTGTTCTTGCTGTTGCTGTTGCTGTTGTTGAGATTTCCTCTTCAAGCTTCTCTTGATAGAACTCCTTGGGGATCCATTGTTCTGGAAAACTCTGAATGGATGGTTTTCTTCCTTCCGTAGTTGTGTGGTGCTGCATTGTGTCCCCGCCCTCTTAACCAAGATTTGGACGCAGCTCTTCTTGTGGTTTACTGAATGACTGCTGTTGTAGTTCAGTATTTGATCCGTGTGAGTCTCTTTCCGGTACACGCAGGTTTCCAGAGTCCCATCCACTAAAGCGTCTAAGAATGGTATTCGATTGTTTCTTTCCAGTTCGATTGTAAACTTGATATCTTCAAGCGTGGTGTTGAGCAGTTCATGTGCATTGTATACGGAATCCCGTTTCTTGATGACAAACATGTCGTCCACGCAGCAGCTGATGAATGTATGAAAGTGGTTTCTAAAGAATACAGTAACGATACTCTTTTCTATCGATCTGGTTGAATAAAATTTATCGACGGGTATGAGATGTGGCTCTTTGAGAGCATGGCCTCGTTGTAACGTCACGCTCGCTTCCCTTCACTTTTTGGAAAAACGAATGCTGACTTCGTAATAAGGATAACCCGCGTATATTGGGAACTACGTTCCAGTTCGAATGCACATCTTTGTCTCCTATATGTTGAATGGTTTATTTGTCTTTCCGTCTGTGTCGTTCAGGCAACGCAAGACGGCTATCTGAATCCGACCGTGCCAGCGATGAGTCCGCTATCCACGGGCCATCCCGAAGAGTTTCAATCACCTTGGGATGACACTACCAAGGTTCGGTCACGTTTACACTCCCTCGACCATCGCCTCCGATGGCGACCCACCGACGAAGACGAGGTTGAGAAACATCCGAGTGGTCAAGCTTCCGGTGATTCTGACGACTCGGATGGTTCTTTCAACGGATTCCGCCAAGTTGGCCACAAGGGACACTTACGCCAACAAGATGAGGATGGCTTAACTTTGGTACCGACAGACGGTTTGGACGGTGTTGCGTGCGTCTTAAACGAGAAAGATCATTCGTTACATGTATGTCTACCAGTAGTTTAACCTTTTGATAATAAGTTTCCGATTTTTTGTCTAGTCTACTGTAGCCGGGTGGAACTTAAGGATGAAATTACCATGCTGCAAACTTGTTGATAGATTCTATCAAATTTGGTACGAACTTAATGTTTTCGCATTCTTGGGTAACTTCGTCCCCTACGTATTGCCTGTTTCATTTAGCTATTCGCTCTTAGCAAGTGGTGGGTAGCTAACAGCATACATAATCAATCTGGGAGGAGTTACTCACGATCACTAAAGTATTCTGAATATGCTAGCATTGACCGCACGATTTGTGGATCGTTCATATTTTGTTGTTTTTGTTGTTGTAGGTTAACGGCGACCCGGTTGGAGCCTGCTCTTCAAGGGTTCATGAGCGATCGGTACCGAAGACCTCAGTGTCCCGTCGCCTTTTATATCGTTCTCCGGCTATACGCAGTGCTCGTAAACCAACTTTTCTCTCGCTGGGTCACTATCGGTCTCGACCTGACTGCTTTCGGCTACCCTGGCCACAAAACACATCCAGCAGTCCGGCCGATTCTCCGGAGAGACAGAAAGAAAGCCCTTGCGGTCCTTTTGTATCCGATCACGCAACTCTTTTGTGAATGGATTGTGGATATACCCCGTCTGTTGGAAAGGTGGATCAGTCATGTGCTTTACCGTTCCAATTCAAATTCAAGCTACTGTGATGTTTCCATGGTCTTTTTCCGCAACCTTTTTATCTTTCGTGCATTTAATGGTCAGACTAAACGTTCACTCCCTTTTATTTTTTACACTTCTGCTCTTAATCTCCATCATTTATCGTCTCCTTGGTCCTCAATACACTTTTGCTCCATGATCCCCGTATCTCTTCATTGTCATCCACGAACCTGTCTCTATGAAGTAGTGTCACCTGTCTTTCTTCAAATCTAATCACTTGTGTCGTTTTTTCCTATTACTCTTTAATCTAATGGTTTTCCGATGAGAATATCGACTTTACTCCTCTGACCTCCATTGCCTCCCGGTTCTGCGACACCGTACATCGGTGCTAGTGGCCTGTAGCCCGTATGGTTTCCTGGAATTCACACTTTCTACATATCATCCGTGAAGTCGCGAACAGGCTCGCCGTGCAAAACATGACAAACTCGTGACCAGTACCCATCGTTTCTCAAAACCCTGCATCTGTCTGTACCTGCGCGACAACCCTCACCTCTGCCTCCCCCACTAGATGGTTTGTCTCCTGGCTTCCTACTAATATCATACATACACTTAGCCGACTTCAGCCTTTTTTGCTTTGTTTTCTCAATGGAGGTTTACTTATAGGATCATATTCAAAACTTCACTTCTGTGTGTCAGAAACGTTTGGTTCACGTATCTTCTGTGAGAGTCCTCCGTAGAGTTGATATTTCGCGTTGTACTATGTAAGTGACATTGTTGAACCTGTTTTCCTCAGCAGATACCGTCAGCTTGGATTGCATTTAGTTCTGCGGGCCCAGTACGTGTTATTTCAGGCCCCGTTCGAGCACTACCCTAGTCAATTTGAGTAGGTTCTCTCAACAACAACAACTTCGGAAGTTTCAGAAGAGCTTGGTAAACAATCGGTAGTTTTTATTTAGGCACCGTTTCGCTTTTAACACAAAAGCTTCATCAGGCCAAGCGAACAGGTCGCCTAATCTGCCAGGTTATAAGACAGACGGGGAACCAACCAGTAAGTCCTCCTCAGATTGTCGCACTAGATCAGTGTTGAGTGTCAATTAACGGCTCTTGTCGGCTAGTATGGGTGCCAAAATTTTGAATTGATGGGTTGGAGGACATCACAAACGAGAGATTCAGCTGGGTTCCAGGTGAGTCGAAAAACCAGATTATTTTCCAAATGAGTGTATATCCGCTATTTTCGTGCAATTTGGTTTCAATCAGAACATAGGGTTGACGGAAACCCGGGAACTGCGCCTAGCTGATGAGCCCCAAAAAGGGCGAAACCGGTCGTGGGCTGTCGACGGATTTTCATCAACCTTATGAGTAGTACATTACAAAGATATACATGTATCGCGATATCTCGAATATCGAAACATGAGGCGGTCTGGTGCAGCACATTCAATCACAAACGAGATATTCAGTTGGGTTCCATGTGAGTCTCTCGAAAAACCAAATTAGCTTGCAAATGAGTGTATATTCGAGTTTCAAATTAGTTCTGATCGCTTTTGTTCTTTAATCTTCCACTTCAGGGTGCTTCACTTAATGATTCATCTCGGGTGCGACTGGTAGATTTTCCTTGATCTTCGTGGGCCAACAATTTAGTTGGGGGGAGGGGAGGTGCGTAAGATTAAGTGGAATCCAGATGATGACTACTCTTCCTCTGATAATCGCGCACCAACACATGTTAGCTCGACTGACCCAAGACCGTTCTCCATACGCTTGCCAGTTCCACGCCTTCTCAATCGACCCCAAACTTTTTCCAATTGATTGAAAACATCAGAAGTTGTTGGCTGTAATCAAAATCGCTACTTCCGTGAACCTGACCATTTTCTGAATTGTTCAGCAACTTGTCTGTTGATTTCAGTTTGGACAACCAGCTAGAGAACATTCATGTCGCGCGCTTATTCTCTGCTTTCTTAAGCACTATCCGTTTAGTCTGCACTTAGCATACAATCAAATGGTTCATCGAAAATGCGGAGCTGTGATCCAGTTTTATCGGTCGAACACAGAGCCAGGTGGTGGCTGCAACATGATACATAAAATCAACGCTTGTTGGTTGCCTGTAAAGATCATAGCTCCTTCAACCTGAGGCACTTATCCTTTAGTTACATGCGGTCTTCTAACCGTCATTCTACTGCTTTTCCTTGATCCCCGAGGCTTTCCATACACATGACAACTTTACGCAACATTACCGGTGCCAAAATATAACTGTATCTCGGCACTGGACGGCTGGGTCTGAATTCCGGCTGATTTCGTAGTTGAACTTTAGGTGTCATAGACTTGGTAACTCATAAACCAGTCGTCGAATTCCTGGTGGTTTGGCTGCCGGTAGTAAATATCAACTTACCTGAAAATGTGTTGTAGGTATCCTGATTCCTTGGACGCTTTGGCTGCCACCGTAAACCGATGCAGCTATGTATAGGATTTCCTCAAGTTTTCCTCAGCTAGAATTTCCAAAAGCATCCATGCGACTCAAAGTCCATGTTTACCCATTCGTCCCATAATTCGGGAGATGCTGTGAAGTAATTTGCAAATCAGAACATGATAGCCAAGCAGCTTGATTCAAAACTTGTTACCCCCTTCGCTGACCATCTCATTCAGCTTCCCGTTTACATCCGAGAAAACTAGTGAGCATCGCTCCAGATAATATTTACTGCTAATTGTCAAAGTGTACTCACTGGCGACGGATGTGAAACCGTCGACCTTGTCCGGTGAGCATGGAGGAGGCGTGTATTGACACGCATCTCCGCATCGGACGGAGAATAATAGCCATCCATGTGGTAGCTAAGCACGAGGAAAATGTTGCTGTAGTATTCACGACCGCGGAGAACCATGACAGTAAAACGCGCCATTTAACAACTCAGCAAAGGACTTCGACCCTGTCAGTATCGACATTAAAAGGGCCACTGAACTCGACCATTCTTTACCTCAGAATGGCCGTAGCGTGGAGACAGATCAAGTGTGGCAATTCGATGGTGAAGAGGCACCTTAGAGCGAGGTCTCTCTATGCAGGTAAGCAAGGTTGTCAAGCTCACTGGCACCTTCTGAATTGCCGCCATTCTTTAGTCTGCACCAGGAATTTGAAAGGTTGCACCTCTCTTCATTTGTTCGGCAATTCCTCATCTAGAAGGCAAGGGATACGCTACTTTTTTATCGGCCGGGAAAAAGTGCTCTCGTCTGTTATTTTCTGAATAACAGTCATGTTCAACGGTTCCTATATTGTCCCGGATTTTAAAGATAACTTCAAGTTTTAGCACTGGCAAATATAACTCTAATTCAGAAAGCCCATGTTGGGTGACGCAGAAAGCCCCAAGGTCGAAATCATCGGAAAAGGAGAACAATCTAATATGTTCACCATAACTTTACCTACTTAAAACTGTGAGGAGTTCCTGTCAACTTTACCAACCGGCACTAAATTCTTTGCGCAGGATCCTGGGCAGATGTCCGAATGGGAGAGCCCTCAAGATGGAAAACGCGTCATGGTTTATGTAAGAAACCACGATCCTTTTAGTATTACTTTTAGGGAAATGAGTATTCGTGTAAATGTCACTGTAGAAAACGAATACCTGTCTTCCTTGAAAGACGAAGCAGCAATGTGAATCGAAATACTGCAACCGGATGCATTTAGATTGAAAAGGGTCCGTTTTGTGAACAGAAACTGCAGCTATAAACCCTGTACAAAAGACGTGAAACAAACTGAATGAACAGCCAGTTGTTCTCATGCTGGGCATCTTTTGTTTACGGAATCTTGACTGACAAGATATCTGAGGGACGTATAGTTGCTTCCACTCCAAGTCTCAGGACCATATAACCGTCTCATACAAGCACATACAAGTCACATACAAGCACGTCTCATACAAGCCACAGTCCACTTCCAAATGTTTATTTTAATGAACGGTTTTCATTTTTATCCAATCCAGAAAGTGAATAATTCGCAACCTACGGACCATTCTGTTTTCATTTAGGACCTTTCCTCCCTTTGAACCGCCTTTCACTTTCAGCTGTTTGTTTACTGGTATGTGGCGTTCAACTCCATTTCCATCCCTGTGGCCTTGTTTCCGCTCACTTTCATCTTTGGGTCACGGTCTAGTACTATATAGTAGTTAGTGTTTCTCTCGAACCGACTTTACTTTTGCGGACGCTTTTGGATATCGTTCTTTAGTAGGTGCTATTTACGGGCCTAGAGCAACTGTACTATTCCGGGGGAATAGAATAAATGCGCAAATATTTTCAACTAAAGCCATTACTTCAAGTTCTGTACTTACTACGAAGGCACAGAATTGCACGAGTATAGTACGTGAGGTCTAACAGGACAAAGTACTCTCCGTCAACCTGAACTGCTATCAAACACTGCAATCAGTACAGATCAGGTTAACCTCCCGGGGATTCCGAAGCACCATTGAGGTTCTTTTGGGCATCATTCAGATCGCACTGTGCCTACCTGTCTCTGATGATCGACTTCACTTAACAAGACACTGTTAGAATGAAAAATCTGAAAGAAATTGGGGCCGGCTCACATGTGTATGCAGTAAGTGTTTGATCAAGGAAGGGTATGTGAAGCAAAAAAATTCTTTGAGTTTATTTTAGTACCATGTACTGGGCACATCTCCGGTTAAGAATCCAAGACCGATTCGTAGGTGAAAAGACTACTTTGTAGAACTGAGACGTCGCCTAATGGAACTCAAAAAGTTTTGGAGAACCTCTAATTGACTTCAGGTGGAAAGGTTCTACACTCACCAAAACTTCTTTCCAGCTCCCGGAACTATTAGCCTGATGAGAGAAAATGCCACTCTTTGATATGTTACAAAATTCTCAACCTGTCCACGAAAGCAGGAATATCGCAGAGTGGTGCAAAATATAATACTTCAGTTCTAATGAACCAGTCTTTGAGAGATGAACCAGTAAAGTCGCACCCGTTATCAGTTACAGAAACTGTTGGCAACACTTATCAGCCAAAACCGTTCTTCTAAACAAACAGAGTTTTCTGCTAGTGTGCTTTTTGTTAAAAAAAACTTTAGGCAAACAAAAGAAAATCATATACTAACTCACTTTGGCATTTTTAGGATGGGTCACATCGTTTGTGAAAACTCCGTCCGGCTTCCGTTAAAACAGGTCAGTGGACCCTGTTTGGTGGCTTTCTCTGGGATCTGCTTCGGCACTGGGCTTTACCTGACTTAACCTTTTTTACCCCACAGTGACCAGAGCGTAAATCTTCCAATAAGGCACTGCTTCGTTAAGGCGCAGTACTGCGTTCAGCAAGGTAGGTTGAGAAACACCGTCCGGTATCAGCTCTTCAAGCGGATTAAATGATAAAACTACGTACCGAACGAAGTCAGAACGGCTCAACGGTGAACACACTGGTGCCGACAAAAAATCAGCAGAGGGTGTGGTGTGACGCGTATCAACAAACTTTTCTGAATTGCCGTCTGTAGGCGTGAGTTGTCCAAGAGACATTACTGAGGCTAACGGTACAATAAGAACATTGTCCGCTTTAAAAGAAATGGTGTAACCAGACTCAAATATGCGAAGAGGTGTGATGTTAGTTACCATCTATTACGGCATGATAACTGTTCGTGAACTGA